CACTTTAATTTATTAAGCTGTCAATCTAGAAGCTCACACACACAAACAAATATATATATATATATATATATATATATAAACTTATATGTATAAACTTGTCTGTGACTAGCATTCACAACTGTGAGTGCAGCAACCACTTAAACCTTGTTAATTAACAACTGATGCCAACTGCTTATATACATACATACAAATATATATATATATATTCCATTCCATTTCCTGTTGAGGTTGCATTGTTGTCCATCAGTCAGTCGGACAGTCTGTCTGTCTGTATGTCTGTCTGTCCGTCTGTTGCACACAGCAACAAACATTTAATGCGTGTAAGCAACACACTGCCTCAAAATCGTGTTGCCTGCGGGGCAAACAGTGTGTCCGAATGCCACTCAAAATGTGGATGTGGAGATACAAATGTACAGATTCATTTACAGCGAATGCCAAGATTAGCAGTTCATTTGTAAAAAGCTCAGTGTCCTATTATTCCAATTTATATTTATTTACTTATTTGTTGTGCACTAAAAACCTTCCACAGTTCTTAAAATATATCAAATTAAACGAGAGAAGAAGAAGAAGAAATTATAAATTTAAGATTAAAGAAAAATATTATAAATAAAATAAAGTAATACATAGAAAAAATACACATAAAGAGTGAGGCATAAATTATAGGAAATATGGGCACATACATTATTAAAGTTTAATCATAATAGTGCAAAATAAGAATATCATAAAAATAAATGTTGTTAATTGCAAAATATTAATTACACAGGAAAGCCAAACTGAAGCAGCTTGTAAGTTAAAGATTTGTCAGTTAAGCTTTGGCTACAACATTTTGAACACATCTCTACATCTTATAGTCTTTACTTAGACTCTGTTAATTGGGATTTATTTGTTAGTGGTTATCGCTTTGAGTGAAGTACATCAAATTAATAGTTACAGTGTGTAATAGTCGTATTAGTGACACACACACAAGCAAATTAACCACAAACACCCACACACACACACAGAGAGGGCGCTATTGTCTATTTAAATATGAGAAACAGATTAAAACCCAATTTAAAGTTGAAACGGTCAAGTTGGCTTCCACTTAAAGTTTAATTAATATGCTGAGCTCCCTTAAAAACCTCAACGGTAAACGCTAAACGAAAAACTAAAACACTCAGACGGGTTGCCTCCCCATCCTGGTTGTTGCTTTTAAGTTTTTAAGCCAATGTAAACACATGGCTTTCAGCACACAACACACACTCACGAAGAAATAGTAGCAGCAGCAGACTTATGCTTTTGTATGTGGCATAATAGATATAAAGCTATCAAACTCTTTGCGAATAAAATGGTTTGAAATCGAAAAGATGCTCAGCTCAGATAATTGAAATTTAGACATACTTATAGGATAATTAAAAGATTAAAGAACCAGAATTAAATATAAAGCATAAGCTTACATGGAAAACATATTGTTAAATTAAGTGTAAGGACATATAAAGAAGTTCATCTGATTAGTTCCACCTTTAAGAATATATCTAAAAATACACCGATTGTGAGTTTATTAAAGATGTGTTGAAAAAGTATTTCATAAAAGAACACATCTATGATATGGTCGTCCGGTCTGACCAAGACAGACAAAGCGGCAAAAACTTTCAGACTATTTATCAAACAGACACGCATAAATTATAGAACCCTCTGTAAGATTAAAACATGGACTAAGAGCTAAGGTAAAAATACTGCTCGACTTTCTTAAGCAATTTTGGGTGGAATATTTACAGATAAATACCTGATTAGTAAGAATATTCTTTTATTGCTATCGAAAATCGATTCTTATCGATAATAATAATAATAATAATATCGATTTGCGATTGGTAAACGAGATTCCAAACTTGCAGTCCCCTGCTCTTTTAGACTGAAAAACGAACAGAGGGGAAGGCGTGCCTAAATCGAATTACTGATTAAGAATATATATACTTTTTGTAGCTCGGATGCTGCCATCTGTCTGCATCTACACTTACTTTTGCACAAATTCATTATACCCTTTTTACACATTTTCAAAGGCCTTAGGGTACATAAAAAACACATCAAATCTGCATAGCATTATATAATTATGCACACACACACACACAACGCTAAGTTGCGCATTACGTCTAATGCACACTTTAAAGAGTTGTGCAACACTTGAGCAACACACACACACACACACAAGCAGCACTTGAGGGGGGCTGTAATTTGACGTCGAGAAGTATGCAACGGAAATTGTTAAATGCATTTCACGCATTGCGCTTGACGTTGTCGCCACATACCACACACACACACAAACACACACACACACACGCACACGCACACATTCACACGCTTGCACACACCTCACCCACCCTCCCCCTTGCTTTGCACCTTGTCTGTGTGTCTGCGAGTGTTGTCAAGTGTTGTGACTGCGGCCGTTGCCATTAGTGGGCTGACAATGGGCGTGGTGCCACACAACGCCCGTCTGTGTGTGGTCGATTTGTAGGCATTTAGGCATGGGATCCACCCACCCCCCCCCCCCGCCCACACACACACACACCACCCTCTACTCCGCCGCTACTGTTAATCTGCAGACGACATATTTGGCTAAAATTTTGCAGCTATGCAAATTTCAATTAAACAAGCAGCCTTAAAATAGAGATTTCGGTGCCTTTTGTTCGGCAATTTTCATTAAATGACTTTTACACGTTGATCCCCTCGAATGCAAATGTTTTGACAGCATTTTGATGGCTGCCACTGTCACTGCCACTGCCACTGCCACTACACCGCCAGCGGCACAGAGCCGACATCAGTCGCATTATGCGCTCACGTCCTGTCAGCTGTGATTTATTCGATTGGTATTCGCTGATGGCTTGAGGTTTGCCTCTGTGTGTGTGTGTGTGTGTGTGTGTCTTTTTATGTGTGTTTGTTTATGTGTGTGTGTGGTCACAGCTGTGTGGCCACAGACAATTTGTGGTGTATGCGGTATATGTGGCGTATGTGTGATATGTATTTAGAAACTCATTTTTTCGTGTGTGTAACAATCGCATCCATCCATATTTGTGGTGACAGGGATCAACATAATTCGAACTTGTTGCACCAAAAGTTGCGAAACTTCCACTTCTGTTCATTAAAAGCTCATTACACAAATGTGAATTGATGGGAAACTAAACAAGAAAATATACAAACATATATATACACTGAGCAAACAGCAGCATAAATAGTAGAAGCAAAGTGTTTGCTTTATAATATATATTAACTCAAAGTTAGATGGAACAAGAAAGAACAGCGATTGAATCTCTAAACAACTTAAAGTTTATCTCTCTCAATCGATTGTTTCTATGGCAGCTATTTAAACAAAAACAAATATATATAGTAGTCTATAACGTTTTTATGCTGCCTCGTAGACGTTCAATGCCTTACAAACTTCACGTCAAACATGTTTATTATCCTCTCTCAATCTTACCTTAACTCAACTAAACTTAATTTGTTTCGACCAAAATAAGTTCAACTTCAAATTAATAGTTAATTAAAAGTTTGTCTTTCATTTTCAGCTGCGTCAAGTCAATTATAAGCCAAAAACGCAATAAGAAAGGCACTTGCACAATAAACATTGGGCATTTGATTTGAAGTTCGATTTTATTTCAATCAAAATCTTTGACTTTAATTTGTATGGGAACTAAATTGTCTAGCAATTTGTATGGATTATAAGGTTTTTATTTTATGTGAGTACAAAATGTTATAGGTAGTTTTATTCACCCAGTGTAATGTTGCATGCAAAAGTCCTTGACGCATATGTTGCGGTGGACTTACAACACTTTTATCATTGGAATTGCAAATTTTTGTCAGCTAACTTGAGCATGAGACACACATGGCAAGCACACATACGCCCACACACTAAGGAAGCGAGAAAAGAGGGCGGGGTAAGGGATCTACTTACATCAAAAAGGTAGTGAGCCCAAGCGCAGCTGGATGTTTAGCATATTTAAGCCCAAAAACTAAAAAGAGCCAGAATTAAAATACAGCATAAATGAAAAAGAAGGCAAAACGGAATAAATAAAGTTGAAAATCGCTTTTATATTGAGGGGAATACCCCTATGTGGATATAGATATTAATACGTGCATGTTGAATTTGAAATTGTCCCGCGAGCTGAATGGTTGCTTTTTATTGCACGTAAAGTAAAGCCATAAAGTCATCATTACACGCTCGACAACAAGCAATGATATGATGAGGGTGGAGGAATGAAACAAGGGTGCAGCAAGGTGACAGCTCAAGGGGCCAAAGGACATCAGTCTGCAGTCAGTCGCTGTCATTGTCAAGAATCAAAAGGACAAAGTTTTGTGACCGCGATATAAATTCGAAAATGTGCACAAATTACTTAAAACATATTAAAAAGTGTGTGCCTCTTGCTCCCCCTATCCCCATCATAATTCCTCGCCTTTGTAAAAAGTCAACCATTTGTGCACAACGTTGCCAAAATTAAAAACAATATGAAAGTACCACGCAGAGAATTCCGTTTTGGGGCATCTTTCGGGGAGTTCCATACACTTTTAAGTGGCGCTTTTGTCGCTGCATTTGTGCAAAGTTCATACCAAGTTTTAACTTAACTTTAACGAAATGAAATAAGTAAAGATACTGATAAATGCAGTTTTATTATAAACAAGCCCGACGCTTTTTAATGATTAAAGGATTTTCACCCATAACTAATACCAATTTTTTAGACATTTATTCTCCTATCGTACTTTCTGTAAAAACAATTAATTTTATTGTCTTGCGTGTGTAAGTATATGATTTTTTTTTCTTTTTGTGTATATAAGTAAATATTGTGCAAATATTTTATATGTATATCAAATTTTGAGTGCCGCTTACCGTCACATAAATAAACAAGAAATTAAATTTGATTTTATTTGTTACACGCGCGCAAAAGTTGCGGTGCTTTTGAAGTATCGATATATATGTGTGCACTATCGATGCTATCGATGGGCAGTACTTTTCGAGCGGCACTCTCCAGCACTGTATTGGTTGATTACATGACCCGCTCAAAACAATAACAGCTGACTGCGGCGTGCAATGTGAAAAAGAATAACAAATAAAATGTTGCAAAATTTATCCTTGCTGATGCGAATACACACACGCCGGCAGTACGCAAAGGTCGCCACACAAACCAAATCAAAGGTCAGAGAACAAAATTGCAGCAAGCCGCTAATAAACTGCCGGCGAACACAGTTCAACTTACTGCAACATGAACGAGCAGATGCAAAATTTGGAACACTTCCGCTTTGTTCCAAGGGCTGGCTGCATAATAAATCCAAAGGCGATCACTTCATTCTCAATCCCACCGTCAGTCAGGAACAACTGGAAGCGGAGCTGCAAAGTCTGCAGCAATTTCTAGCCACTGGACAAATTCAGCTACATCCTCAGCTGCTGGAGAATCTACAAAATGAGCTGAAGATTACACAACTAACGGCGATTCAGGCACAGGCGATGCCTATTGTAGATGGCCGCTTTCATACTCTAATAGCAGCAGAGACGGGCTGTGGCAAAACCTTAGCCTATCTGCTGCCAGTGCTCAATGCGACACTCAATAATCAGACCCAGGAGACTAAGGAGCGACAATTTAATACACCCAGTGTGCTTATATTGACACCAGGACGTGAACTGGCCACCCAAATCTCGCAAGTGGCTACCAAGCTGTGCGTCGGCACGGACTTGAAGGTTAAAGCGCTGCTGGGTGGGAATACCAAACAGTTGATGTTAAATCCACAATTCGAGGAGGTGGATATATTGGTGGCTACTCTAGGCGCGATTAGTAAACTGGTCACTACTGGCATCTATCATATGGATCAGGTGCGTCATGTTGTGCTGGATGAGGCGGACACATTGCTGGATGACTCCTTTACGGATAAGCTAACCTATTTCCTGCGAAGATTTCCCGTGAGTAAATCCAGTATAAGTCCAGCAATCACCAAATTAATCTCTTCCCCTCCTCCAAACAGTTTCATAGGAATCATGTGCAGGATGCTGACACCGTGGGAACCCAGTTGCTGCTTGCCTCGGCCACGATGCCAACGAATACGAGGGAGATTCTGCAACGCGTCATCGATGTGGAGACCATACGGGAGGTGGTCAGTCCGCATCTGCATCATCTGATGCCGCATGTGACGCAAAAGTTTCTGCGCATGTCCAAGGCGGATCGACCGGGCAACCTGTTGGTCCTGGCCAAGCAGGAGATGGCTAAGCGACGGCCGCTGATTGTCTTCAGCAATAAGTCGGCGACGAGCGATTATGTTTCTATATTCCTCAACAACAGCGGCATCAATTGCATCAATCTGAATGGAGATATGCTGATGAAGATTCGTTTGGGTCGCTTCGAGGAGTTCCAGCGTGGCATATGCGATGTCCTCTCCACCACGGATGTGGGCAGTCGTGGACTGGACACAACGCGAGCGCGTCACGTGCTCAACTTTGACTTCCCGCTGCATGTCTCCGACTACATTCATCGTTGCGGTCGCATCGGACGCGTCGGCAGCGTTGAAAAGTCTTTGGTCACAAACTTTATATCTTCACGCCGTGAGATTGATGTGGTGCAACGCATTGAGCATGCGGCACGCACTGGCGGCCTGTTGCCCGATGTCAATGCGAACATCAAGAACATTATCAACAAACGCATCATGGCCGAGATGAAGGAAGCGAATGTGCCGTTGCCGCAAGAGGAAGCCTTTTAACCGTTTTGTAAATAAAGTATTTGATTTGTTAAAGACTTGCCAAAGTATTTTATATATGCATACATTCTTGATCAGTCGAACAGATATATGCTACTCAACCACTATATCTCAATTGGAATCAGTCAACATTTTGAGCACTTGTTAGTTGTTTCTTAAATCCTCCCCCAAAAAGAAAACCTTTATGTTTTTCATTCAGTTTTATTTCCAGCCCCTTAAATTCATATGCGCAGAAAGTGATAGCCACTGTTGGCCACCACACGCTTCACATTAGTTAGCGGCTTGAAGAGCTTACGCTTGGCAATGAGAATGTCGGAGTGCATGATATCGCTGCCGCCGTTAGTCGATGGTGAATCCATAAATTGCATGGCAGCCACGCCCTTAGGCTTGAGCAGCACCGGACGGCAGCCGGCGAATTTGAAGCGTATGGTGCCGGCGCAATTGATGCGGAGATTCGGCTGCACCAGCTCAGGAAAGGCATCGCAGATGGTTGGCTTCGGTGGGAGTTTCTTGCTGGGATCATCGCCATGGCACATCGCCGCCGCCAAAGTGCTCCACTCCAAACGACGCACGCCCGGCTGTGCTTCCAGCCTGTAAGCTGGTTGCCTCGCTTGCAAATAACATTTCGAGTTTAGTTTCGCATACGTATCTTAAAGCAGGCGAAATATTAGAAATTTATTAACTAAATCGTTTTGGTTTACTCACTGGCAAAGTGCACCAGGAAGGGCTGTAGAGTGCCCGCTCCGCAACCGTATTCGAGCCACTCGTAAAGATGGATATCGTCGCGTCCATTTAGGAATGTGGCAGCTGGCGCCAAATCCCGCCAGAGACTCTCGGGAATCTCATTAACGTTCAGCTTGTAAATATAGGGTATAAACTCCCGGAACGCGTATTCACCCAGCGCAATGAGACCGCGTAGGGCGCGACTGATGTACTTGAAATCTGCAAGGTAAGAGATTTATTAGCGAGATATCTATATTTCAATTCCAATTCGATTAGAAGCCGTGGGATTTTATGGTAGGATGATCGACTTGTCTTGGATTCGACGAGATTGACTACAGTAGCACATTGTCGTTATATTCTATATCACACTCACCCCGCTCGCTGCACACGTCGCGTCCCTCAAAGAATCGCGCCAAACGACGCTTAATTAGAAATAGACACTCGGCATGCAGATAGCCACTCTGCTCGGCCAATTGGCCAATGGTCTCGCACAGCTCGTCCACACAGCTGTTGTCGACAGGGCTGGCAAAGTAGTTAGACATATGCTGTGGCTCCTGTGGCTGCGTGTCATCTGTATTATCATCATCCTGCTGTAGCTTGTAAATGGTCTGCTCTTGTGAATCGCTAGTGAATACGATTTGGGGAATATTATGCTGAGTAGGCTGTTGTTGCTGCTGAGAGTCAATCGCCATGGCTTGGCTGGAATACTGTTGTTGTTCACTTTGGACATCGCTGCCCAGTCCTGGCTCCATTTGAACAGGAGCCTGCTGTGAACGTGGCCTGCCATCGGCTACCTTGATGGTTTCAAACGGTGCCATTAACTGACTGATGAGCACTTCGGCCAGATTGAAGTACTCTGGCCGACAATGGATATGATTCGCATGGCCATTGTAATTACAGGCGCGCAACAGACGCCAGCAGCGTTGACTCACATGATCCTGTTGCCGAAATGCGAGCAACTGCAGCATTTTGCTGATTATGACGCGATAGCAGGCACCCATCAGAGGCGTCTCAAACGCCTGCGAAATTGCCACTTTACGAGCCCGATCGTCACCAAAAATAGCAGCTAAAAATGAGAGAGTATTAAAGATTATGGGATTAGCAGCAATTCCAAGCACTTACCCGTTACCAGACTCTGCACAAATAGCTTTAGTTGGTCCGTGTTCTTATCCTCCACCGGACAGACGCAATCAAAGTCCACATTATTTGGCATTGTTAGCGAAATATCCGTTTGATACTCGTCGCGCAACTCAAATATTTTATCTGAATGAAAGAAATAACTGCCATCGTAGTCAATGCAATCCCAATCGCTGTCCATGGCACCCAGCATGGGTGGCACATCCGCATCATTGAGCACCTCATTGACCAGATCATAAGTAACGACGCCGCCAGAGTGACGAGAATAAACCTTTACATTCTATGGAATTAAGGTAAATCTAATCAAGTTCTCAAGAGGTTAAACCGAATGAATATACAGACATTGATTAGCTCCCAGACTTTGTAGGATGCATCCTCCGCTAGGCGTGCGCAGACATCCTGCGACAATTCAACATTGGTTTGATCATGTTGCTCCCAGAAAATCTTTATACTGCGCGCATCAAAGCCCGCATAGCTCTTCTGATTACTCTGCAATGTAAAGACTGTAAATATGTGGATCTAATGGGTATAGATAAATATATTCACTTACCGGCTTGTTGCCCATCTCCCCACCACCAGCAGCTCCAGCTCCAGCTCCGGCAACGGCAAAGGAAGCATCGAAGAGATTGTAATTGCTTAACGTTGTTGTTGGCGTGGTGGGCGTTGTGGCCATATTCACCAGTGTTGGCGTGGCTGGCACACTGCCCATTGGAACACTTATACTTGGGGATGCAATTGAATTTTTATTGCCTGTGTCCAGTTTCGTGTTCTTCGAACGAGATTTTGTCGACTTTTTGGTGATTTTGCCCAGCGATGACTTGCTCGGCTCCTCTGAAGAGCCACCGCCGGTCGTTTTCATACTGTTCTATTTTTACGGCAAACTGTATATGTATAAATAATTTAAAAAAAAATGCAGCTAGGCGACGCTTTAAGCGAAATTTTAGTAAACAAATTTTCCCAACAGCTGATTATTGCAAACGATAGAGCGACAAGGGATCGATACTTTGCTGCCAATACTCGGTCTATTACCGGCGATAGTTTGTGGTGGTCGGTCAATTCACAATCGATAAGAACTTCTCAAAATACTTATTCAGTTGTTGCTTCCCTCTCACAAATATTTGTGTTAGCAAACATAAGAAAATAGGAGCAAGGGCGCGATGGCGGAGGCTGCAAGCGTACGCCAGAATCTACAAAATGTCCCATCGATATTTGAAATATCGGCGGCTGAGACGCTGGACAACCTTATTTATCCGGCACTGAGCAAAATCTTTGATTATTTTGGACTGAGATTGGACTTTAAGCTTTGGGGCAGTCTACGTGTTCGGGAGGAATTCTCACCGCTCATAACATGGATTCTCCAGTATTTATATCTGCGCAAGCGGGCATCTTCTTTCGGTGAAAGTTTCTATGGACTACAGCGCACAGCGACCGCAACTGGGGAGCTTTTAACGCGCCAACAGCAATTCACTTCGGCCACCCTGCTAACCATCCTCCCCTATGTTGAGCGCAAGCTGAGATCGAGGAGTGCTCGGCACGAGGGCACCTACGCCTGGGAGTCGCATCTGATTAGTCTGTTTCATGCCTACAATGCCTCCAAGGCGGTACACACATTCCTCTACCTCATAAAATATGCATCGAGCCATTCTCCCCTGTTTCGTGCCCTGCGGCTCACTCTCCGCTATCCCAGTGAGCCGCCCATGGAGGATAAATGGACTTACGTATTCCTAAAGGGGCTCGAGGTGCTCGCCTTCTTCCTGCAGTTCATACAGTGGTGGTATTCGAATGATCAGCGCAGGAAAATGGGCGGTACTCTCCAAAATCCTGAGCCCATGCAGCATCCTGAGCTGCCACATGAACTGAAGGATACACTGCCAAAGAACGGGGAATGCCCAGTTTGTCTGCTCAAGCTACAAACGCCGACAGCCTGTGCTGTTTCCGGATACGTTTACTGTTGGAAATGCATTGTGACACATCTAAAGGAGAAAGGCACGTGTCCTGTGACCAGCTATCCCATTACCATTGATGACCTGGTGCGAATTTATGAATCATAGGTTTTATTATAAATACTACCACTGTATTCCACTGTTTGTATTTGTTTATAGTTTGTAATAAAGCATTTTCAAATTATATATCTGTTAAATAGTATCCAAGCTGTGCATGCCGACAGAGATAAACTGGATAAAAGTCCAGACTAGCAGTGCACAGAAAGCCCATAATCGATAAGTTCAAAAGGTATTCACAAAGAGAGAACAACGAATAGACTGTAAATAATAAATCAAAGAAATGAATATTCCGGAGGATTGTCCAGATGTCTATTCACCTAATGGTATACACAATTGGTTGTGCAGCATAAATAGGGGCCACATGACCAGCTGGATACCGAGGCTTGTGAGGAACAGTTTGCGCTTGAGCATCAACGATAGCTTCTCGTGCGGTTCCATGTGTTCACGACGAAATCGCTGGTGGCATAGCAGCGATGTGCCCATATAACCGAAACCGGAAAGCATTACGGATAGTGCAATTAGCGCATGAATCGCTGCTGGGCCCGCTATATGACCCAGATGCGCCAGTGGAAAACAGCTCAGACTGTTCTGGATGAGCAGGCCAACGGTCAGATGGCGCAATAATCTCGCAGATCGCGGCAATCTACGTTTAAAGTATCTGCAGTAGAGCCAGATGATTAGAAGGCGAAATGGCAGATGTAGCCATGTGTTGAGCACCCACAAGGATTGCTCCGCACGGATCACTGCTGACAGAGATGGCACTATATTCAGCACATTGCAGTGGGTCAACGTTGAGCCCTCCAAATCACTGATCATCACCTTGATGATTGAGTACACCATACAAGTTGGTGGATGCACAAAGCCAATTAGCAACAGTTTCGCCATGGATATCCTCAAGCGACATGTGCAGGTGTGCCTCAAATCGTTGACAGTTATTGGCAACAGTTTTCGGTCGTCAAACATCTCTTTTTGTATATATAAATACTTTTCAATTTCCGAACATTATTTTGAAGTTCAACTCTCTTTAAAGAGACTAATATGATTACAATAAAACAGAGTATTTTTTAGTCGGATTAAATCGACTGCTGCATTTTTCATTTTACTTATTTAAGTGACAATTATTTTTTGGTTTAAAAAATTAAGTAAACTTTTGAGCTTAAGCTAATACCGCATATGTACAGAATATACGCCGGAATCGTGACGTTGAACATGGACGTAGAGAATCTCCTCAGGCAAGCTACAAATTCGATAAATAGATACCATTCCTGGCATCGCAGACAACGGTCAATGCATAAAAATCCCAATACGACGTCATATGGAAGCCCATATTCGTAAGCACCACAATATACTCGAACAGAGCAAAGAATGTGTAGACTGTGGAGCGACGGAGGAATGGATTAATGGAGTATATGTACAGGATTAGATATTTATTATTTGCTTACCACCCGCCTCGCAGCGAGCATTGTGCCGCATAAAGCAGTAGCCGGCTAGAGCGAAAGCGATCACATTAATTAGGAAAAGATTGCGCTTGTAGCGCAGTGATTTCTCCTCGTGCGGCAGCAGGACCACCTTCCTGGCGCTCCTGTTCAACAGGTAGGAGATTAGCATATAGCACTCGCTGCATGCGATAAATACCACAAATGAATTCCGATGTATCTCATAGTTATCCGCCGATGTCCACATCGACAGAGAGAAGAGCGCGAAATCCTCGATAACATTCAGGGTGCAGGCGACAATGCCGAACATGCGACGATTGCGTCGAATGTGCTCCCTGTAATAGCCCAAATACATCTTGGCAACCGTCAGGCGCAGTGGCAAATGCAAAAAGATTGCCAAACGCCAGACTGTTTTCTGTGGCTCATAGTTGCCAATTGCCGCCGAGACCGATGGCAAATAGTTGGCCACGTCGCAATGTGTAAACGTGGAGCGCACAAAATCATTGAGCAGCGACCAAACCACACAGAAACAGAAGGCGCCCAGCGGTAAACTGAGCGCAATAACCGAGAGCCGGGCAAAGGGAAGGCGAAAGAAGACCTTTTTCGGATCGTTGAGACGCTCGTATGTCGGCAGCATGGCAACGACCTGGCGGATGTGTTTTTTTTATTCTTTTGGGTCCAGGTAATTTGGCGGGCGTGGCGCTCTCACATAATTTTGCACGCTTTAACCGTTATTTAACCTTTTAGCCGGATATTCATGTTGCTTGCGGACGACGGCGCGTAAACAAATGGCAATGGCAGGTACGTTGGCATGCAGGCATGATAAATTCTCCACCCACAATTTAACTGCACACTGTATAAAATAATATAGTAATTCTTATTTTAAGGAAACATGAATGAGGTTTTATATTAAGTTCGTTTTATATTAAATAAATAATTGCTTGAGCTAAGTTTAAGGTCGGGTTCCATGCTGTCCATTTAAACTGTATACGTGTTACGTTTCATTGCAATCGAAAAATCATAGTAAACAGCATACTAGCTTTTTTTGTGAAAGCATCGATACTCTTAGCGCAATGCAACGTCAATATCGATAAACTGGCGTGTGTTATGCCAAAAAAAACATCCCAAACAACGCGCTTCATTTATATTTTTATTGTTAATGCGAAAAGTGCCCGACACGAGATGGAGCTACTTTTGGCCAATGTGAACAGCCTGCAGTTCAAGGCGGAACGCGACCTGATCGAGCAGGTGGGCGCCATTCCGCTGCCGTTCTATGGCATGGACAAATCCATCGCTGCCGTCTGCAATTTCATTACAAAGAGTGGCCAGGAATGCGACAAGGGAAGCGCCTGTCCCTTTCGACATATACGCGGAGATCGCACCATCGTCTGCAAGCACTGGCTGCGCGGCCTGTGCAAGAAGGGGGATCAGTGCGAGTTTCTGCACGAATACGATATGACCAAGATGCCGGAATGCTATTTCTACTCCCGGTTCAATGCCTGCCACAACAAGGAGTGCCCATTCCTGCACATCGATCCGCAGAGCAAGGTGAAGGACTGTCCGTGGTATAAACGTGGATTCTGTCGCCACGGCCCCCACTGCCGGCATCAGCATCTGCGACGTGTCCTCTGCATGAACTACCTGGCCGGCTTCTGTCCGGATGGCCCTAATTGTAAGCATATGCATCCCCGATTTGAGCTGCCGCCACTTGCTGATCTCAGCAAGGATCAGTTGCACAAGAAACTGCCCACCTGCCATTACTGTGGCGAATTGGGACACAAGGCGAACTCGTGCAAACAATACGTGGGCAGCATGGAGCATCGCAATAATATCAACGCCATGGATCACAGTGGCGACAATAATGATGACGGTGGTGGTGGTGGCGGTGGTGTTGGTGGCATTGTTCCTAATCATCCGCCACCGGCGTTTATAAAAGTGCCAACGCCGCTGGAGGAGATCACCTGCTACAAGTGTGGACACAAGGGACACTATGCTAACAAGTGCCCCAAGGGCCATTTGGCCTTCCTATCAAATCAACATAGTCATAAATAGTGCTTAATTCCCCGATAGTCCCGATACAGACACACAAACACACATATATTATTGTACATCTAAGTATTCAGTTAGTAGTACAGATTAAATCTCCGTCAAACCATCAAGCATTGTCATGTATTCTATTCATGCGATAGTTCGTAACAGTCATATATATCGATATGTTGAAATCGAATTGTTTCCATTTGGGCTTTGTAAGTCGCCACTAATTGCTGCCTGATGTAATCTTTTAATTTACAGTAATCTCTCGTAAACTTGAGCGATTATTCGATTTGGACCGTTTGATAATTCTTTTTTGTCAATATCTGCAATAGTTATTTAATAAATTGTATATTTTTAAAGGATCTAAAGTTTTTAAAAGCAGCTGAATAGATTTAATTTTTTTGCAATAAGAATTTTTGTTCGGGTGATTCTTTATTCAAAGCCATCGTGAAAATTGCCAACCCAAAAAGCATTTGATTTAATCACAATATGTGTTGAGTTTAACTTTAAATTGATAGTTTGTATTTTCAAAATTTCAAAAATCAAAAATTGATAGATTTGTGGCATGCGAACGAAGATTGGTATATCCTTGGGAGTGCACGAACCCTCCTCTATATTTTGTGCTTTGTGGAGAAGCAGATATTTATTTTTTTAAGCCGGTGAGTGCGCCCCAGGCGTAGTGCTTCAGCACATCCGGTCCACATTCCAAGTACTTAAGTAGTTGTTAAATGTAGAAAAATATTTATGTATTTAACTATGAATCCTTATGTTAGAGCTCTAATAAGGTAGGATATTCAATTTAAAATTGAATTGCCGCTTAAAACGTATAGCGCTACCTAGCGGCAAGTTTTGTCATTACATAGTTATATCGGATAATTTCTGTTAATAAATTATTAGGAAAGATAATGATTTGTGAGTGAGTTTAATGGAGGGAAGAATCGCCGGGAGCATAGAGCAAATTAATCGTCAATTCAACTTTAATGGCGAAAGGCAAACCAAATCCGTGCAGGCCCATTTCAGGATGGGCGGGTACGTCGTGGCCATAAACACCAGGTCTGCCAGCTGCTTCGTTTGTTTTGTGTGTGTATGTAGGTCTTTATGTAGTGTTGTGTAGGTCGATTTAATTTTGGAGTCTACCGTCCACGGGCAATGTTGGAGTTACTCCACCCTGGGAATACTGAGCTAGCCGAGGTTGCCTACTGGGAAACAGCTGGACGTGTTACAGTATTTTAGAAATGTATAGAAGTTAGCTGCGTCTTTCACTGCATCGATAACACGCAACTCGATATCGCTGATGCAGGCTGGTGGAAATGTATCGGTTTGCTTGCTACGTAGTTCGCTGCGCACACAAAACAAAGTGAAAAGTATAATTGAAGAGTAAACATCGCAGAGAGTGGAGATTTTTACACAACTTTTGGGATTTTTTGGTGAACTGGAATTGATAATTGAAAGCTAAATTTCAATCAAAATTATTGCCGCTAGCGCTGTTTGTGGTTCATCAAACTGAAATACATGCTATTGAAAAACGTAAAAATGACGATTCTGGCTAAATTAACGGGTGAAAAGAAGGATCTGGAGAAGGTGCCGCTGCCCTTGCACCTCAATGATGAATCCATGATGCATCACGGCTCATTAATCAGTGTAAGTGTTTCGTTTCGCTTTTTTTTCAGCATAAGCGACAGCCTATTTTGCTTCCCTTTTTTTTGCGCAATCGTGTGTGTCCTTGTCAGCCAGCCCTATTTCCTGTGTCCTTCGTGCCAATTCAGCAGCTACAAGTTTCGTTTTCATTCGCCTTCGCGTGTTTCTCTGTGCGCGTGTGTGTGTGTGTAGGCGTCTCTTACTGTGTGATTTTCTATGTACATGCATAAGTATGTATGCGTGTATGCGTGCTCTCAGCAGCATGCATATCTATCGATTTTTCCATGCTGGAATTCCCAGTGTGTCCTTGCACTCTTTCTCCTTCACACGTTTTGAGGCCGCGCAGCATTTGGCATTGCCCGACTTCGTTTCGTTCCCCTTATGCCCTATTCCCCTTTTTTTCCTTATGTGTGTATGTGTGGGGATTAATCTTTAATATCTTTTACTTTTGTGCTTCACTGCGAATGATTCCAGCACAAGTTTTTCCAGTAAGCATTTACTCATATGCATATGCACATATGTATGTATGTATGTATGTGTGTGCGTGCGTGCATATAAATGCATTTTGTGTTTTCTTTTTTGTTGTATTTCGCTTTGTTTGCCGTTTTTTCCAATTGCGCTGCTGCTGTCGCAGCACAAAAGCTAGAAAATTTTGCACTTTGCTCATTACCGATAAGTTCACATATGCACAATTTATATATATATACATATATATGTACATATGCATTACGCTTAAAGTGAAATTCTTGCTAAGTATAGAGTTTTTAGATATTGTACATACATATGTATGTATGTATGTATTTAATGCGAAAAGTTTACGCAATACTTTTGTTTATTTACATTATTCATATCGACACTGATAAGCGAAATGTAGGGCTGGTAAAATGACAATTAGTCACATGTGGAATTGCCATTAGAACGTTTCGGCTACAAATATGTGAAAACGATTAGAATTTCTGAAAACCATTTTGAATATAAAATCCTTGAAAATGCGTAACTTAATTCCAATTTTAATGTTTACCATTGTGATTATTTATATTATCAATTAAATAAATTGTTTAACAGCTTATTCGCCTAAAATAAGAACTTTATATCTTAGACGTGAAAAGCATTTAAAATAAAAACTATAACTTCTGAACCCTGCAGAACCATAAATAATAATATTATCAAAATTGTTTGGGCATAACAGATAAGAAAACAACATAGAAGCCATTATAACGTACATAGTAAATATTTTCAAATTGGTTTTGTAATTTACGCAGCAGTAATTAAAAAGCAAAAATAAACTAATACAATTTCAAAAAGGAATAATGCTTAATTGACATTGATATTCAATTGTTCGCATTGATTCAAGTTTATATAATTTGTTATACTTTGATGTGTCGACAAAGCACAAGTAATGATTAGTAATGATTATTTATTTATTGCTTTATTTGAACACAGCCTAAAATAGCGTATAGCGATGCGGACACAGAGTCGATGGTATTCAATCGGCCGCAGTACAACTGTCTGAAGTCGTTTCTCCTGTTCCTGATCGCTGTGATCGTGATGCTGATGGGTGTCCTCGGGGGCTGGACACTGTACCGTCTCTATGCACCGAATCATGCTAGCATGCGTTATCATGCCCTATGCGATATACCCTATGCCGAGGACTCGATGGAGCTGCCACGTTTCTATCAACGCAACGAAGACGCATTCACCCTCAACTGGAAGTCGCTGATGCCGCAGCTGAGTGCCTCAAGTGTTGGCGGCAGCAGCAGCAGCGGTGCCTTCAATGTCGACGAGCTGGTCAACGATAACTTCTTCCGCGAGGAGATCGAACTGGATAGCAGTGATGATGATGGATTTGCCAAGATCGATGTGCCTGACTTTAAGGATGGTCGCCAGGGTCGCTTCATGCATGACTTCAAGGAGAACCAGTCAGCCATCATTGACACGACCACCAATCGGTGCTTCATAATGCCACTGGATCGGGACACCACCCTGCCACCAAGCAGCATTGTTGATCTCATGAAGAAAATGGGGTCGGGCTACTACAACATTGATACGGAGCATGTGCGACGCATTATGCGAGTGATTACTCCTCGCATCACGGATCTGTCGCTGATCTCCGAGCGTATTGCCAATGAGTGCTACGACATGAAGGTCTACATGATGGAGAAGTTTGTCTCTGGAGGTGAGCATCCAAATAACTATTATCGTCTAATGATTGTAGTAGCTATATAAGCTTTGCATAGCTGCTGCTTTTTATTCCCTTTAATTTCCCCTTTCTTGCAAATATCGATACAAATCGATTTCCGATAGCAATAAAAACCACAATTCTAAAGCTATATATTTCTTATTGGGAATGTATTTACCTTGACATAATATTTAACGTCTATGAATTTCGATCAGATCAATTAAGTATATTCATATATATATATACATATATTAAAACAAGCATTTTCTGTATACAAACGTGCATACATACATTCATTTATATATACATACATTCATTCATACATACATTCATCTACATACACATACCACAAACATTCATTCATACCTTTGACCTTTCAAATAATACATTGATTAATTGAGAATTGAATGAAAAATTGTAGAGTACTATGTATGCTAGAGGAGGAGCAATGATTCCCAATTCTAAGCTTAAACGATATCGCTATTCTATTCTAATTTCTGTTTCTTTTTGCAGTGGCCAAGCGCTCGGCTGATCCTCTACCCGATGCCGGCAAGTATGCCGCGTTCATGGGCAAGGGCGTCATTGAGTACGATCTGTCCAACATAGCCGAGGTGGAGGCCTACGAGGCGAACGAGTCCCAGTCGCAGCAGCAGAAGCAATTAGCTTGAGCTCTGGTTGGTCGTGCGCAACAAATATTTTAAATCAATAACATACAAAAGACATACAAAAAAAAAACTAAAAATCAACAAAAAAAAACAAGAAAAAAAAGAAAATAGTATAGATTTCAGTCAGAGAAAACGTGTGTGTATTTAACGATGATCTTCTGTGGGGCGAACAGCTCCATTCTTGTAGTCTGTAGTTTCGAGAAAAGAAAAAAAAAACATAAGACCGAATTATACATCATAATATTGGACAAGCGGTTCGACGTGGAATACTCGTTGAGCTGAGCTTAAGAAAATAGCGAATCATATATAAAATAATAGACCCTATTAAGAAATGTACCTAGAAAGCAATTTAAATGCGATTGACGAAATTTGTGACAAATACAGATAGAAAAAAAACAAAAACAAAAAGCGAGTGGGCAATTTGTGGATTGAATTGTGGATGTGTCCAAGGCGGCGCAGGTGGAAAATGACATTAATAAAAGTCGCGGTTTTAGAATTGCTGCTGCAGAACTTTCTATTGTATATTGAAATAAGGATAGCTAAGCCCCAATAAAGAAAACAAAAACAAGCAAAAGAAAAAGAAAAGAAAAGATAAACCCAACCACTTGATACATATAAATACACACTGCATTCAATTCCAAGTACATATTTTATATTATATATACTCTTTAACTCTATATCTATAAATGCGTACGTGAGCTAACAATTATTTATATAGAACAACAAATCGAAAAATTGAAAACCAAAAATTCAAAAACAAAAAAATCGCTATTTACATTTGCAATGAAGACGAAAGAAAAACAAAACAAACAAAAAACTAAATTATCAGACAACAACAACAACCAGAAAACCAAATTAATCTAAATGTTCTTTAATCGATTTAAATGTATTAAAACGCGAATTTGTGATCTTTAAACAAGCAACTGTTTGATTATTTTTATTGCTACAGTGATCGCTCGTATATTAGAACTTGCCGAACATTATAGAAATGTACAGAAGCTACAACTTTTACTTTTAAGAACCATATATATTTTTGTTTACTTTTATTTTCCCTCTGTTTTCAACAACTGCTCTACATAAATTATTACATTTAAAATATATATAATATCTATAAAAAAAACATTGATTTTGTTTGCTTAAAATCATTTATAAATATTAATTTAAATTAGAATCAGCTCTGGGAGCGTTTTAATTTTCGAGCGATTATTGTACATTTTACATTTGGTTCTATATATGTGGTCTGCACAAGGCTATCGTGTGATCCACTCCATAGGCCACCTTTGTCACCTTGCCATTGATGGCCGCCTTGAAGGGAAAGAACTGATCTTTCTTGTGGCCCAAACCGAGGTGGCCAAAGCGATTCTTGCCCCACATAAACAAATCACCATCGGAGTTCACAGCGCCCATGTGAAAGACACCGCATCCAATGGAAATCACAGTTGTTGCATTACTGAAATCATTGCGTCCAAACAATGGTGGGAGGAGATGCTGTGGCTTCGACGACTGCTCCACGGTTGGCCCAAAACCCAAGATGCCATAGCCCCAGGTGTAGACAAGACCCTGATCATTGAGTGCCATACAAAAGGAGCCACCGGCAGCCACATCCTTCACTTTGCCAATGCCCTTGGTGAGCGTGAGAGCTCTTGGTGTGCAGATCTGTGTCTCGGCATCAACCGAATCATCCAGCTGACCATACTCCGAGTTGCCCCAACCAAAGATGTCGCCCTGCTCGTTCAACGCCAGCACACAGTCCGAGGAGCAAGCGACGCGCACAATGCGCTCCTTTTCAATGTCGCCGGCAATCAGCGTGATCTGTCCAGCTGTGTGATAGTTTCCCTGTCCTGTCTGCCCATCGGCGCCCCAGCCGCAGCTGTAGACTCGCCCCAACTTGGTGAGAAACAAGCTATGATCCTGGCCGCACTCAACGGCAACAATTTCATCCTCTGCCCCGCAGATGTCCGCCTGGGGTATTCGATTTATTAGGGCACTTGCAGTATAGCGCTCATCCTCGATGATGGAGCGTCCACATTGGCCATACGAATTGTTGCCCATGGTGAAGACGGTGCCATTTTGTGTGACCACAACGAGATGGGCTCGACCCGAGGACATGCTGCGCACCTGCATATCCTCATCCGTTTCGCCCTGCTCCCTGGGCAGTTTTATGGCTGTGGGATAAATGATGACATCCAGATTGGCGGGATCCTTGCTATTGCCCTTGACCTGAAAGCCCAGTTGTGAGTCTGTGTTGAGTCCGCTACCAAACAGAGTCTCGCCATCGGAACGCTTTACGGCGTACGCCGTAAATCCGTAGCCGGCTGTTACATCCGTTATTTCATTGTTGTTGGAGAACTGCAGCCGTGTCGGATGATGAACCATTTCTGTGTAGCGCTCCTGAGCCTTCTTCACGTTCGTCTGTAGACCGAGGGCACCAGTCTCCTGGAAGCCCCACACATAGACCCGATTGGCGTGCGTGCCCGAGATCTTTGGCTCATAATCTAAACGAGAAAAATGTCATTCATTTAACCCCTCATATAAATCTGATTATTGGCTTTACTTTTAATTTTTTTTATGTCCTGTGACAAGATGCTTCGATTCGCTTTTGCTGTGTACTGACGGGCCAGACGATGAGTTACCGCTTTCACGCTATGTAACATACTTAAGCTTATCTTGTTAGCGGTATTTTGAATAAATAAGCCAAATGCACTGATCACATTGCAATGGTGTGAACAAAAACAAACCAATTATCGATATATATCCATGACACTGAACTGTAAAAGTCTTATATTTTTTTGAAGTAACTGTAGGAATTATTAATCCCCTAGTTCACATCTCATCTTTCCCTTTGATAATAAAATTTTACTATTGGCTTCTTCTCAATAGTGTGTTTGCATCATAATATGAAAATACAATTTTTCAAATTTAGTTGCACAATATTACGATACTTATGATATCGTTTTATAAAAGCAAATACCATCACTACTATATCGATGCCACAGCTGTTTGCATTATGTACTCGATGCGACCAACATTGCAAATATCGATGTGGGCGACACAGTAAAACTATCGAAATTGTAGAGAGCGACGAAGAAGTTGCTCCGGTAGAATTGTTAAGAAAAGTGATAATCAAACGCGGATTATTGCTTCAAAAGTTATTAAATGCATTAATTAAATGCACAAAAGTGCGCTGGCGTCCTAAGTAACACACGAAAAGTGTCAAAAGTGAAAAGTAAAAGTTTGAGCCGACTGATTTTCAACTGGCCAGCATAATATATATATACACACACTAACAGATGTACACATAATGTACATTTAAAGTATTAGTATTATTATTATTATCATTGTGAGAGTGTGTGAAGAGTGCAATACAAAAATTTGGTTGGCAAACGCCTAAAAACATTTGGCAAAAAATCTTGTTCGCAGTAAAAGTGAAGAAAGTGCATTTTTTATATGGTCGCTGCTGCCGCTGCTGCTGCACAAAGGGCTGGGGCCGTTGGCTGCTGCTAGGAGTTGCCCTCGTCGTCGTCGTCGTCGTCATCGCCGTCGTCGTCGTTGCCGTCGCCAAAAACTTTCGTCTCCGGTAGGTACACACAAAATATACGGCTGCTCCTGTTTAGCTCCTGTTATGTGTCTCGCTCTCTCTCTCTCTCTGTCTCTGTGTGTTTCTATCTATTACTCGCGCTCTCACTGCATCATCATTCTCGCTCTCTCATTTGTTATGTTTGGTTTTTAGTCAGTTGCGTTGCTGCTGCTGCTCTGTCTCTCATCTTAGCATTTGCATATTTATCGATTAACGAGAGAACTGTTCGATTGCTCTGCACCACCGGCCCAAAACGGTTCTTTTCCAGGATAACACACATATTATGAAGGTGTTTGTGCCACTCTCTGTTCTCTCTATCTCGCTTTCTCTCACTCTCGCTCAGTTGGACGTGCCCAGCAAAGCCACCCCCTTTTCGTGGTCTCTCTTCCAGCGCAGTCCTTTTTATTTTTTGTGCAACGGGTGTTCGTGTTTTACACTCGGATTTCTTTTGCAGATTTTTGTTGTTTTTGTTTTTTTTTTGTAACCATGCAGCAGCGTACCGCCCCAGGCTATGTATATGTGTCAGTCAGTCTGTGCTGCTTTGCCCACCTCCTATCAACTCCCATCCACATCCCCTAACCGTTCAAACAACCACCGCCCCGAACATCCTCTTGTTTTAAGTATGCGCAGTTCGCTTCGGGGCGCAGTTCACAACCCACGACCCAAAATACACATGTCACAGGTTTCTGTTCTCGTTCTCTCTCTCTCTCTCTCTCTCTCTCTCTTCACATTCAGCATCAATTCAGTTCTAAATTCAAACTTAAACAACAGCAACAACAGCTGCGCGAAATATACAGTAATCTATCGATAAATAGCATCCCTTCTTATTAGAATCCCTTCTGCATGATTGTTTAATTATTGAGTATAATTCTTACATATTTTATTATGTGATTTGAAAAATATGACATGCAAGTTATTTATTAATTGATCTATATTGCATAACTACAAAAATATAACATGAGAAAATGCGAGTTATTTATTTATTTATCAATTTTACTCAATTAAATAAATATAACATGCGAAAATACGAGTTATTTATTAGTTTTACAGTCGCCGCGCCTTCCCTGTATCGAGCAAATACTGTAACTAAATCAACTCGAACTGCAACTGAATTGAGTTCCGTTCTCACTCCCCACACACATAATATATGAGCACACACATACACACACATATACATATACAAAGACATATGTTTCTAGTTATGCCCCCGAGTCGCTTGTGGCTGCTGCCCTTTTGGCTGGTGATAACACCGCCCCATTCCCCCAACTCTCCCTACTCCCACTCCCATTCTTCGTCAGTTTGTTGTTGTTTTTTGTGCTCCATTTTCTGTGATTTAAGAGCCTGTCTCTTGTCTGTTGTCTGTGTATCCCCCCACAAATAGATTTGAAATAATAATGTTAACAATTTCGTGCATTGCTTTTCGGTTTGAGGAATTAGTAACTCAATAATTTTTAGGGCCACTTTTGAGTGTTTCTGGATATGGTCGCTGCGTCTTCAGTCCGTTGAATGGAACGAGAGCATTTCCTTTCCGTTGTCTAAGCAACTTTCCGCCTCATAAATTGCCGATGAGCACGTGCGCAACTCTTTTTATTTTCACTTTGACGAACTGTCGCCGCACAAAGCCAAAAGCCAAAAATCCCAAAGACAAAGCCACCTTGTCGGACAGAAAATGCGACAAAATACGAATATCAAAGAAGCACTAGCAGCAGCTACTTAACCTGCCTGTCCGTCTGTCTGTCTGTCCATCTGTCCGTCTGTCGAGGCAATAGTTCAATGGCCATAAACAGAAACCATCCAAGCATTTCAATGCCTCAGCCTTGCCTCGCAGCAACTCCAGCTGGTGGCAAATCGCTTAGCGTTTTCAGATGTATCTCTTCGCTACACTGTACAAAATTAACATAAACACAAACATAATCTTGCATTTTGATTTGGTTTTCACATGTTTTCGTTAACTGCAACAACTGGGAGTCGCTTTATCTGCATTCCAAATATTTACAATGCAAATAGTAGATACATGATGTTTACAGCTCAAACAAAACGAAATGTTTGCTAACACAAAATGGACTGTCAATTCACAGTTGAAGATTGATAGGGGTTTCAGTTGAATGCCATCAATGTTGTAAGCGTAGTCAGACATTTTAGATATAAAGCATTTGAAGTGAACTCCCTCGATGATTCAATGAAGTTCCACTGAAATTGATTTTGTACAACTTTCTGCTCAGCATTTCTGGCGCTTTCATTTCATTTAATTTCAGTTTCATTTGATTGCAGAGAATAAACAATCGAGATCATTGAATTATTAAACAATTCCAACACATTTTCTGACACGCATTGCCCACTTCCCAATGGGAAGACAACAACTTGACTACTAATTGATGTGGCGTTGACACAATTCTACAAAATATTTACAATCTATTGCAAAGCACATAAAGAGCACATGAAGGCACTTTAATTTAGCAATGAACTTTACCATGAACTTGAAGACGGTTAGCAAAAATGTTGAATATATTATGAAATATTTTTAATAATCAAAGAAGTCTTTTTTCGATTGACTGTAATCTTTGACTTCATTCCTTTTAGTATATAAATCAGAATGAAGTCTTACAAATTTATTTAAATAAATTAAATTAAATAAAAATGTTGGCTAAGTTGTAGTATATATTTTATAAATTCCTTGCAAAGTGCCAAGAAATCCCATAATAAATTCATGTGAACTCTTAGCTGTCGAAGCAAACCTTATCTTCTCTCTGATAACAATGTTGTTCCTCTTAAATCTGCTGTTACTTAATGCTAGCAAGAGCTTTGCAATGAACATGATTACGCTTATCCAATTGTCAAGTGATTCTAAGGTTTGTCATTAAGTACACTCAGCTCTCACTCGAGGCCACACACCGTGAGTGAAAACGAAACGAACCGAAAAAAAAGCCCCCAATTAGACGGAAACGCTGCAAGCGATACGGAAGCAAGATTCTTTTTTTGTCAAACAAAGAAAGAAGAAAGAAAAATAATAATATTAAAAAAAAAATGCTTTCGCCTTCACACACCGTACACATTTTCTATCATTTCCCACGAAACACACGAAACTCACTCTTATCGCTGATGACAGCATTTTATTTATATGCATATATGATGTAGTCTAAAAGCGAAATGTTTTATGTGCAGACGTTTTTTTGGCCTAAACGCTAATTAAGCTATACAGAATTTGGCGTCTCATTTGCGACCTTCAACTCTCGACACATATTGACGTTTATATTTTGTTGGCCAACTGGCAGCTAAGAGGCAAAAGTGAAATCACCAAATGCCTATTGGCCCTCATAATTATTGATCTTTCATATTTTGTGTGTTTGTGGCCATTGGCTGTTTGACATTGACTTTGGCTATGCTTTGGCCAACAACCTCAATAGTTTAAGCGACAAACTGTCATTATCCCTTGCCTTGTCACTTGGCTGTTACCTTTTGCGGCATTACGTAAACTGGCCTCATGCCTCATTCTCTTTCTCATGCAGATATTCCTTCTGTTTTTTCTTCCTCTTATTTTCTTTGCTCAGCTTAGTTGATAGTTGATTTGTCTCTTTTGTTAAGTACGCGAAAACCAATTCCGAGTCCGATTTCAATTCCAATTCCAATACCTGTTTGTGACTCATCGAGCGATTGGTCGTTTGGGGCCAGCCCCATTGCTTAGGCTTAAATCTCAGTTGTGTTTGACAGTAAATGGCGAGCTGTGTTTTTTTTTGGTTTTTGTTTCTCCATCTCTGTTATCGTTATTGCGGTTGCACCACTGCTGGACTGCTGGCTGACCCGCCAGCTATACACAACTATACAACAGACGCATTGCCAAGTCAATTGAAAATTCATCAATTAAAACCAAGTGGTTTTTATGTCTGTCTCCAGCTTGTTGTTATACCCTTTTTGTCACGAGCTGATAGCGTCTATATGTATATATATAATATTGATCAACACAACTGAACTGAGTCATTATTGTCTTGTTTGTCTGCATATAACTGTAGAATAATCGCCAGCAAATTTTTGCCTTATATACAGGGTGTCAAACCGGAAACGGAAGCGTAACTTTAACGATGGAATTTTAGAATTTACGAATACATTTACAGTATTTTAATATTTACGAATTACAATTCTTTTTTTTTATATTTAAATGCAATCGATCGATTTTGTTTATGATAAACTTGTTTGTTTTTATAAAAGTGCTGGTAAACCACTAATAATTTTGTCTAAAGTTCTGAGTATTATGTGTAGGGTATTTAAGCAGCGTCAGCGCGCATTTAAAAATTCTTGCTTGATTTTTTGTATTTTATTTATTGAATTCAATTACGACTTTTCAAATCAGAGTGTTGCCCCATTTGCGTTGGGGGCAACTTTCACTTGCCTCCAACTCTCGCTTGGCCAGCTGCCTGCCGCCTGCTGGCCAGTTGCAGTTGCCTAAAGATACATATATCCAATATCATTATCATCATCATCATCATCATCATCAATCATTATCATCCCTTACACACACTTTCATCAGTTCTCTTTCATATCCCTGCTCGAAGGCCCGTTTTATTCCTTTTTCTATATATGTCTATGTATATTTAACTTTTTTATGCCAATGTTATTTTATTTATAGATATATACATATATATATATATATATGTATGTATTTAATGTACAATTAAGCCATAGATTTTAAATGCTTTCGCGCAAATGCTTTTTTGAATGAGACATAGACACACACACTTGCACACACACACACACATACACACACACACACACTTGCACACACACACACACACACAGAGCTTTAATTTCCATCTTCTTTACAATTGTTTCTTCTTCGTATTTTTTACGTTTTCTCTTTCACATCTTTGTTTATTTTTGCATTTTCGCCGCATTCGTAACGTTTAATTTGCCGCCCACCGCACAACAACAACAACAACTATCGACAACAACAACAACTATCGACAACAACAACAACTATCAACAACAACAGCAGAAATATGCGTTGGCTTGAGGAGGAGGCAACATGCAGCACCAGCACCAACAACAACAACAATAGCAACACACTGCGTAACACGTATAACAGTAACAACAACAACTACAACTACTCACCATAATAACAAACAACAATCATCATCATACAAACAAGAACAACAACAACAACAACATCCACATAATCATCATAATTATCATCTCTGCTTAAGAGTTGTTGTTGCTTTTGCTGTTTAACTGCAACACGACCACTTATCACTGCCACCCGTCTACGTTGTTGTTGTCATTTGTTGCCGAAAAGAAAAAAAAGAAAAAACAAAACAAAATTTGTCTCCGAAGCAGCCAGGCCCATTGCACCCAAGGAGCTCGCTGCTCAGGCCATAGAGGCGCCACCCCGCCCACCCAGTGGAATGTTGGAATATCCACAGCGATTTGCGCGCAACATCCCCAATTCCTCTGGCAACGCAGCAACAGCTACGAGCTCGCCGCAGTATCCACCGCAGCTGCCGCAGCATCAAAACTATCCAAGTTGTGCCTCACCAGTGCATCATCAGCGACACTCTTCGCTCCAACAGCAACAACAACAGCAACAACAACAACTGCAACAACAATTGCAACAGCAACAGCAGCAATCGCTGCAGCATCATCGCACACTGTCGACAGCCTCCAGCTGCAGTGCCCAGCAGCACAAAAGTGTGACCTTCGGCCAGCCAGCGAACAGCGGCTGCCCGGCGCCGATCATTGACTACAACAACGGCGGCAGCAGCAGCGGCAACTCCAGTTGCAGCGCCGGCACGGCCAACAACGCTGGACAACAATCAATGGCGGGCAACATGAAGCACGGTGAGTTCTGACATTCTCCATTTGCAGCATCTGTTGCAATCTTTGCAAATGTACAAAAATAGTCTGCAGTCGATTACAAATTTCCCATAAGTTTTTATCTATAGAAATTTGTATTCTCGAGAAATAAGAAATGTTATATAAAAAATAAAATAGCTGATCACGACTTGAAAATAAGTTATTAATAATAATTTATTATACTCTGCTTCTCCCTCATTAAAATTAAAATATTTAATATACCTTTGATTAATAAAATGATATTGTATTCAAAGATTTCCTGGGGCTTTCTGAAAATTCCGTGATTTGAGTTCAAAACAAGTCTGCAACTAAAATTCCATTTAACTTTCCATATCAAACAAAGGTCTATCTTAATAGTTTTTCATTATTTGCTTAAATTCAAAAGAATAATCATAGATATTTATAGCTTAACAAATTGGCGTCAGTTACAGAAAAGCTCAAAGTCAGGACACAATTATATAAAGCTAGCTATGACCAACTAGGATTTATTATTTATAAATATTTATGTATTTTGCATGACTTTGGTGATTACTAAAACGCACTTCACACTTTATTGCAGGCAAATCTCAGGAAGACGTTTGCTACGTGGTAGCCAAATATGATTATGCAGCCCAGGGTGCACAGGAGCTGGATCTGCGCAAGAATGAGCGCTATCTGCTGCTGGATGACTCCAAGCACTGGTGGCGTGTACAGAACAGTCGCAATCAGTCCGGCTATGTACCCAGCAATTATGTGAAGAAGGAGAAGCCATCGCTCTTCGACAGGTGCGTTTCATCATCATCATCATCCCCCCCTCCGGTTGCAGTCGCTCGACCCCCGCTGCATCATTGCAATCAATTCCGAACAACCAACCAAACAACGAGCAAAAACACCACCAAAAGTGTTGTATATACTTACTATTGCTACATAGTTATTGAAACTCACTAAAAATTCAAGTATTCTTTTTATTCTGATTTCAGCAGAAATAAGAAACCAAAAAAAAAAAAAAAAACCAAAAAAAAAACAAAACAAGTTTGTTTCCTTCTCCTATTTTATGCTTTCTAATCTCTCTCTCGTATTATGTATTGTAAATTAATTTTCCAACTGCTTTTCGGCTTTCGTATTGTATTTACTCATTTGCTTTAAGTTGTATTTTTGGTATTTTTATGTTTTCTGTGTAGTATGTCTTCAAAATACATTGCCCTGCACAATACCCAAAAACCCAACACACGAATGAAAACTACCCCAACAACCCCTCCAACTGGTTAAACTGCCCCTCTGCCACCTGAACACCAAAATTAGGTTCAAGTCTTGAAAAACTCCTCTCTGAAAAACCTATTGTTAAATCTCTTAAGGATTTTAAGTCGTTTGCGTTGCTTAGGCGATTCAACATTCAACAATTAATCGAAATATTTGTTTGGCTCTATTGTAGCATCAAGAAGAAGGTGAAAAAGGGTTCCGGCTCGAAGACGCTGCCCAATTGTTCGCCCTCGCGCCAAATCGAGAGTCCAACCATGTCACGCCGCTTGCCCCCAGATCCGGCCGAGGCTATTGGCACCGCCATTGTTAAGTACAACTATCAGGCACAGCAGCCGGATGAACTATCGCTCACCAAAGGCACACGCATCCTCATCCTGGAGAAGTCAAATGATGGGTGGTGGCGTGGCCAGAGTGGCAACTCGGTCGGCTGGTTTCCCAGCAACTACACAACCGAAGATTGTGATAACGATGGTGAGATCCATACCTATGCCATGGCGGAGAACGTGCTGGACATTGTGGTACGTAACAATGAAGATCATTACCACGCGATGGGCTTCTCTTAATCACTGCTTAACACACTCTTCCTTGCAGGTGGCGCTGTATAGCTTCACATCGAACAATGATCAGGAGCTGTCGTTTGAGAAGGGCGATCGTCTCGAGATCGTTGATAGGCCCGCCTCCGATCCCGATTGGTATAAGGCACGCAATAATCAAGGACAAATTGGTTTAGTTCCACGCAATTATCTACAAGAGTTGAACGACTACTTGGCCACACCCTATCGCAATACAAGCGGCAATGCTGGCAACGGCAACACCGCCGCCAGCAGCAACGGTGCCAGCAACAATGCCGCCGGCAACGGTGGCGGTGGTGATTCCATGGAGCGTCGTAACGACTGCAACAACAAACCATCAACTCAACCAGCTCAGCCCATCGAGCGTCCGAATTTGGCGGGCAAATCGTGGTACTATGGCGCCATCACACGCAGCCAATGCGACACGGTGCTCAATGGCCATGGACACGACGGTGACTTCCTCATCAGAGACAGCGAGACTAATGTGAGTTGAGATTTTTGATGTAACAGCTAAATGCCAACGGATTATTTGATTAATTTTGTTGTTTTCCTTATTATCACTTGACAGATGGGTGATTACTCGGTTTCCTTGAAGGCGCCCGGTCGCAACAAGCACTTCCGTGTGCATGTCGAGCAGAATATGTACTGCATTGGGCAGCGCAAGTTTCATTCGCTGGATCAGTTGGTTGAGCACTACCAAAGAGCGCCCATTTATACGAACAAGCAGGGCGAGAAGCTGTATCTGGTGCGACCGCTGCCCAAGGCCAATGGCACGTAAATGGCATCCCACACAAAAAACAACAAAACAAAAAGAAAAATGGGTTGGAATGAGGCCCATAATCTCTTATATATTACTCGTAATATACATAAATACCATATACAACACATACAGAACTTCAATGATATAGAAAATACGTAAATACGTAACTAAACATGGCTAAAACAAATGCAACGCGTTGTCCACAAAAATCTTTCAGTTCTTTGCTTCGCAACAGAGTATGTATGTATATATAGATATATATATATATCGGTTAATTGTGTCCCGATTCACGATCATGTGCGTTTTTGGTCAAGATATAATAGACAAACAGACTTTTTGTACTTTTATAAAATTATGAAAACACAAAAAAGAAAATGGAATAATTCGCGTTTAATTAATAGTTAATTCGGCTAGCTTTTATCGCCTACTAATTTGAATATTCTTTTCGATTTCTCAATTCGCTTCCTTTTGTAAACAATTCTATCACTCAATTCTAGATGTCAACATGCATTATACGATTTACATACTCTATAATATGTATAAATACATAATGATATATGATATTTAACAAACACTGTAGCCAACTATTGTGTACACAGCAAAGCGCTTTTAAAACCCAACACTTAAGATAGCCTATACGTGTGTGAGTGTGTATGTGTGTGTTTGTATGAGTGTGTGTGTGTGTGTGTGTATTTGTGTGCGGGAGAGTGCACATAAAGCCAATTTGTCTATTAACCATGCGCGTGTGTGTATTGCAATTGCCTTATAAGCTTTTGCCCAGAATCTATTTAATACCACAGTCATATAACCAATACTTTATCGAGTATGTAAATATATTGGCGGAAACAGCTTACAAGCAATGAGAAAACAGGCAGAGAACCAAAATTGCACAAGCTGCTTAGCTGCTAAACTTTAGAAAAGAAAAGAACAAAAAACAAAAAGCGATGCAAGAAACTAAATAATTTGTTAATTAGCCGGACATCGAGAAAGACAGATAGAGAAAGAGAGAGAGAGAGAGAGAGTGAAAGAGGAGATCCTGTTTCCTCTGACTCTTCATCACACCCACACAAGTCATTTTTGTTAATACAATTTTAAATTATCATCTTACCATATAATCTTACGGAATACCAATAATAATAATATCTAAACAATCTGTTCTAGCCGCATAATTATAAACATAATCATCATCTTACGAGAAAAAACACACATACTTAAGTGGAGATCCCCCCCTATTAAACATAAATAAATAAATACAAAATATGATACGCATATAAGCCATGCTGTACAGTTGATGATGCAATGCCTAACCTAAGCACACTTTCACATATGCATACATACTTTATATATATATATATATATATATATTTCTATTTATACTTTACTATTACAATTATTATTATTATAATTATTACTATATATTTATGAAGTAGTAGGCAGCGATTCCAGCTTTAATTTTGTTTTTAATTATATTTTGTTCGCCGTGTTTTTCTTTATATTATTATTGATTTGTTTTTTATTTAGCTTAAGCAATTAGTGAGGGACGTAGTGAGAGTTATCAATCTAAAGGGAGATGGGACGATTAGAGCTTGAATGCTTTGATATGGGGGCGCTTAGAGAGACTTGACCAGAAAGTTGGGTCATGGCAGGTTTAACCATAGGGTTTAAATGACTTTCGACTTTATTTCATATGCGAATTTTTAAATATATATATATTTATATATATATATAAATATATACATATTAATATATAAAGATTAAATAATTTATAGTAATTTCAAACAATTGCTAAACACAACTAGTACTAAAACGAAAGAGAACAAACTAGAAATTATACCGAAACGGAAATGAATAAAAATACATCAAATAAATTATAAATCAACTGTGTTTCTCCTCTATTTATATTATGCACTTTAATTTATATAGGTTAACGCTACAAGCAGTTCAAATGAAAGGACCTTTTTAAAAACAGAAAACATCTTATAACTCGGTCATATCCTTCCTGATACTGGTGAGTTCTATGTGAAACTTTTTCTTTGACCATGACTTCCAACTCGCCAAAGGATATCCAAATCGTCTTTGTACTTTCCGAGCTTAGCTCGAATTGGAATGTTTGCCGGAATGCCCCCAAAATTATGCACAGTCTTTTTGCCTGAAAGCAATTTAGCCGATACAACAACCACTTAACATCAACCTGCCTGGAAAACGATATAGAACAACTATATTTCTGAAAAGGAAAGAAATGTTTTGTTTACATGATAAGTTTGTTTATTTGTATTGCTTAATGTATGTATACACATATCATATTTTCTACTTACTTATAAATATGATGGGTTCCCGAAAGAGAGTTCCAAGGATTGCTAAAAATGATTTGATAATTCTAATAACAATAATAAATACAACAGAAATGGTTGTTTTGTTCATAGTTTTTATTGAAACTTGTAATTTTAAATAATTGTTTTAAGGCTTCGAGATAATGTTTGACATACGTTAAGGCTAAATATGGAAAAATTCATCTTGCTTCTTATTTGGACTTTTGTTGGCATTAAACAATTCCGAATGAATACTAATACCGTTTTTTTTAATTTTTTTTTTTTTGTAATGATACTACATATGAACGTCGCGCCATATTCTTAGGTGTAAGTAAATAGAGATATATGTTTATATATATTATCATCGCAATTAACAAACTTTAACTTTGTGTTGAGCAAACTATCCGTTCTAAGTGTGTGTGTTGGTTGGTTGGTTGGTTGTGATTGGTTTATTTATTTATCATAGTTGAATAACAAGTATTAAAACAAGAAGCATTTAATTTAGGTACAAAAGCATATATATATATGTATATGTGTTTATATAATATATTTATTATGTATGTTAGCATTATTTTATTAATGATAGTTTAGTTTAATGAACATTTTCATAATCTTATTAAGGCCACACAATCAATAACTGACAAGAGTTTCGTACACCGAAACAAGCGCGCAAAGTCGTTAAAACCCCAAAAGAAAAACAGGTCGAAAGAGAGAGAGAGAGGAAGAGAGCTACAAGGATGCGATGATAAGGCAAAAAGAATAAAACATTTTCTTACCTAAACATTTATAAAAAGAAGAAAACACAAAACGAAATACAAATTAGACCGCAACTTAATATGGGCTGATTAGGGTTTACTACCATAAGAACTTAGAATTATTGTTTTAGTGTTTTTTTTTTAGTTATATATATATATATATATAGATATATATATCTCGTACTGCATAAGTATATGCATTTAGTTTAAGTTTAAGCTAAACACACGACAAACTGTGGCGCACGTTGAGAAAGTTTAAGTTTAGTAAAAAGTCGATAGATGCTAAAGGCAACGGTAAATACAAAACTTTAGATACATCCAAATCGCATATGTATTTATATAAATATATATAAACGGATGTGTGTGTGTGTATTAGCCGTATAAATATTTATGTAGAGTTATAGCTTTGTAAAAGAATATAATATGTATATGTATATATTGTACGATCATCGCAAATCCGATCCGCAAATGCGAATTCTACTTTCAGCATGGTACATACCTATATATATATATATATATATACACACACACACACACATACACATATGCATACATGTATGTCTATGTATTTAGTATGTTGGATATATGTATATCATAGTTAATAGCTATTGTTCGTAAAATGGACTAATTTCGGTTCACTTTTTGCATTTTGTTCAGCGGCTTTTGATCGTTCTCTGCTTTTCTGGTTCTCTGCTCTGCCTTATCAACGCCTCAGCCATATTGTGTGCTCCTTCTGCTGCAGCTGCAGCTGCTCCTTCAGCTGTTTCTGTTTTTGTTGCTGTTGGTCCTGTGCTCTGCTCGAGTCGGAATCTCATAAAAATGGATTATTGGTGTTCATAGCTCCGCTGGCCTGTAAAAAATATGAAACATTTTAATGCAAAATCTTAATTGGCAAGAAAAATGTGCAAATGTGCAGCATACAGAATAATGAATTTACGTGTCCATTAATTAGATAGATAGACAGACAGACGAAGACAGGATTTATGATTAACTAAATTGTCTGTCTCGAAGACTATCAGATCTAGAGATTATACATACAGATACAGTGAAGAAGTTTCACTAAATCGATATGCTATATGTAACTTCCTTAAGGAACTAATAGACACGGAACTGATTGCACTGGGTATCACCTAGTCGAGCAATAGCACTTACCGCAAATGGATTATTGAAACAGCTCGATATGCCACCGGCCATAACAGGCGCTGGTTGCATGCTACCAAAGCCGCAACCGTTGGGCAGGCCTTGGGTCAAGGCATAGCCATTGTTATTGAAATTGTAGAAACTTGGGGCCTGTGGCTGCAACAGCTGTTGTGCCACTCCTGCTGCCTGCTGCGGACTGCTGCCGTAGCCATTTGGTATGAGCGTCAACTGGCCATAGAGATTCTGCTGCTGCTGTTGCTGGAGCTGCTGCTGTGCCTGGAATGGATTCACCGCATGGTTGTTGCCGTTGACGAGCAGTGCTTGCTGGCTCTTGAAAGGATTGGCATTGTTATTGTTGTTATGGTTGTGGCTGTTGTTGTTGCTGCTGCTGTTGTTGTTGTTGTGGTTACTTTTGGTGACGGCTGTGGGTGAAGTGTAATTTAGTTGTTTAGTTTGCTTGCAGATGAATTTATGATAGAGTTGAGCGCGTGTGCACTTTTCTTGCGTGATACGAATTTGAGCAGAAAACAAATCAATATGGATTTTATTAAATTATACTTTCAAATTACAACAAATATTCAACATATTTGTGGGTTTTCTTAGGACTTCTTCGTATCATGTTCTTTAAAAAAAAAAGAAAACGCAGCTCGTGCTCATCTCTAATCTGTTGTTTTTCACTCACCAGTGCCAAAGGCGTCCAGAGGCGTGTTGTTGGCATTTGTCGGCGTTGGCGCCTCAGTGGCAGCTGCCTCGCTGGCCTTCAGTTCGCGCAGCTGCTCATCGAGGTCCTTGAGCGCCGCATAGCGGTCCTCGCTGGGTGCACTGCTGCCCACCTTTGCCGTTCGCTTCTGCAGCTGCTGCTGCTGCTGCCCAAGCTGACTGCTCTGCAGCGAAGCACCTGCAACAAACAAGATTAAATAAAACATGTAAAAAAAAAACTTGACTTCGCCTAGAAACAACTTAATCTACAAAATGAACTCACAGGCAAACTAAACAACAAAAAAAAAACTCATTACAACAATTAACAATGGCCAACAAAAAAATAAGCAAATAACAAGCCAGAACGCAAGGCAAAAGGAACTCAACAGGAAAGAAAACTTATAATCGGCCGAATGCCGAAGATGAAATACCCTTGCAGAAAGCAAATAGTTTAAAGTTAACAGGGAACTTTATATTAAATATCATGTAAAACAATTGAAATTGCTTGAGATTTCTTCACAGTAAAAATGTGCGTTGTACGAGAACTGATCTTTCCATCTATTTATCTTTTAGAAAGAACGAATCTAGGCAAAGCCAAAGAGTTTCATCAAACTGAGGCACTACTTAGCATAATAAATAACAGACAGGCAACTAATTCATATTCATTTGGCTGAGCAGAACTAAGACCATACACGACGAGTGACCCGCATATGGGAGTTCAACCGAAACTTGACCATCTGCAGGGGTATATATATATATACACAAAGTGACACAAAACTTACTCCACGTAAAGAATGGATTGTAATAGGCATTTAAAATTAACGAATTCGAGTTGCACACTGAACGCTCTGCCGCAACAGAGGCAGCAGCAGCTGAAGCAGAAGCATCTGTGCTTCTGGTTGTTGTTGCTATTGTTGTTTTTGTTGTGTCTTCTAGCAGGCTGCAATCTTCTGTGGAACTTGAGCTATTTAATAGGTAGGGCAGAAAGGGATTCGTTGCTGTGCTGGTGCTCAACGCCTCAAAGGAGTCTTCATCGCCGCAGGAGCAACCGCATTTGGATGAGTTAAGAGAGCTGGCAGAGCTTTTATAGTTGGACTTCTCTAATGGTTGTTTTAGTTGTTCTATTTGCTGCTGTTGTTCTTGTCGTTGTTGTTGCTGCTGTTGTTGCTGCTGCTGCTGTTGCTGCTGTGGTTCCTTTGACCAGAAATCCTCGGTCCAGAGCGTGGAGTAGGCAGGCATTACTGCATAAGGCTCGTGCTTCTTTTCTGGCTGTGATTTTGCCTCCGTTTGCAGCAGCTCAAATTCACTATCAAAAGGATCAGAATAGTTTGGTGTACTCCAATCGCTCCAATCTGGCAGCGATGCCTGGAAAAAGCTTGTCGCTGGAGCAACTTTTATTTTCGAGTTTCATATTTGGCAGAGAGCAGAAATATGGAGAGAAAGTGAGAAACAAAAAGGAAGACAGAGAGAGATTAACAAAACAAATGTTCATTCCCATTCTCAGGTTTTGGGATGTGCTCAAGCGAAAGATCAACACAAATCTCTTCAAAATACGTGTGGAAACGTTCTATGCAAAGTTGCCAAGCGATATTGAAAGCCAAAAGCAGCCAGCAAAATAAATAGCATGAGCTAGTTGCTGATGAGAGCAGCTGCAGCAGCAGGTGGTGAAAAATCAGTTCTTGTGGAATATGGTTCAATGTGTGTGTGTGCGAAAAGATTATATAGAAACTAAAGATGAAAACCAAATAGAAAGAGCAAAAATTCGGCTTGAGCCGATGCTTAAATACCCTTGCAGATATATCATCCTTAGACCTATATTGTGAGACAATCTGAATAGTTTTAAAATGTGAAAAAACAAAAATGCAACTAGACCAAATTTCAATCGTGTATATAAGAACTATGATATCACTGAAAGTAACGCAAGGGTATATATAAAAATAAAAGTGTGATTTAGTTTAAGGAGCTGTTCAACTTACCACCAGCATTATAAATGGGCGCATGCTCGAAATCCGCAAAGTTCTCCGTTCCGTTGCCATTGAGCAGATGTTGCTGTTGCTGTTGTTGTTGCTGCTGTTGCTGTTGCTGCTGCTGCTGCTGTTGAAGATGCGCCGCTCGGATGGGCTGCACTTTGGCATAGCCATTGGTGGAGCTAACCGAACTGGCCGAGGAGACAGCCGGTGAGCCCGCGGAGCGCGCCGCGGTCGCATCAAATATATTCGCCGTACCAAAGTCGGCAACGAAATCGGTCTCGCCGGCAAATCCATTGCTGGCACAGCTGCTCGTATCCGAGAGAGCACCCGTCGATGTGGAGCCGGCACTGTTGAGGCTAGTCAGTCCCAGGCCAAGATTGAAGGCATCATGATTGCCATTCTGCTGCTGCGGAAGATGATGATGATGATGATGCTGCGGCCGACTGATCGCCGCCGAGGATCCGGTGGATGTGCCTGTCTTCGACAAACCATTGGCAGCGGTGCGCTGAGCGGCGGGCGGTGTCAAATGAATGCTGGCATAACCATTACTCGAGATGCTCGAATTATTATTAGTGTTGTTGCTGTTGCTGTTGCTATTATTATTGTTGTTATTGTTGTTGTGATAACCATTGCTGGACGTCTTCAGATTGAGCGACTTGAGCGGACTGCCTGGCTCCAGATAGTAACGCTTGCGTTCGTACTTATCAATCATCAATTCCCGCTGATCCTGTTGCTGGGCGGCGGCACGTTTGGGATCCCACAAGCCCAGCCACGTCTTGGCGCATAGCTCATTACCATGCGCCTTGAGAAAGTCGAGCTCGTCCTGTGTGAATGTCGCCATCGATATGGATTTCACGCGATGCGGCGGCGTCAATCCTCGTCTACAAAAGAAGAGCGGGAAGGGAAAGTCAATTTATAATCAATTAACCAATTTAAATTTTCATAAATTGAAATTGAGTGACTGTTTCGAGCCTATTGGTTTTTTATTGCTCTATTTTGTTATTTTTATTTTGTTTTTAAAGCTATAAATTAATAACGCTTAGGCACAACAAAACCATTTGGTTTTTTCCTTAACCAAAACTTTCCTTTCTTTTTTTGCTTATTCTGCATTCAAAAGTAATGCAATAATGAATTTTATGGGAGGAAAGCTTTTGCAGGTAAGGTTTTCAAATCACAATAAATTCAAAGACAAAACTAAATAAATGTTCAATGTCGAGACCATTTTATTCATGTTTCAAGCAGATGATTAGTTTTACATATCTTAAAACTGAAGTTGCCATTTAATTCAATGTATTTCGAAAGTCTAGAAAATGTTATTATTAATTACGCAAAGTGTCTGTAATGAAATTTATTAAGTGGAGAAGTTTGAGTGGATTTCCGGTATAGAAAGATGGGTGGAGAAACAAGTGTTACAAATATTTGTGAATGACCCGCTAAATGGGTGCTCAATTTCAGTTAATTGCACAAATTAATTATACCGGCCTTGGGGTTGAGTGTTGCAATTAGAGCAACAGTGGCAGGGGACGACAGCTCGGCAGAAGCCAAAGAAGAAGGAGGCGAATAAGTGGTGGCAGTAATGCAAAGAAGAAACAGCACAACATGAAAAATGAAACCAGCCATAAATGAAACTCACTCAAAGCGAAAACCGGCAAACAGCACAGCACAGCACACAAATTTGCCTCACAGCCGCTTAAAGCTAATTTCAGTTTTTCACGAATTTTCCCAAACGAAATGGGCACAAATAGCAACAGCAACAGCAACAGCAATAACAATATATGTATCTGAGTATGCAAGCATGTATGTATATGCATATGTATATATAATGAAGAAACTGGACGTTTCACATGAACGCTTCAGTGGCTCACCGAGCCAATTCGTTATGGTAAACGAGACGAGACGGTAGGTGGACAGAGAGTGGGCCACAGAGAGAGAGAGAGAGTGGGCCACAGAGAAGGAGAAAGAGAAAGAGAGAGGGGAGCAGCGAAAAGCGAGAGCTTTGATCGCATAGTTCTGGAAATCCCCTCTTCTTCTATCTCTTCTCCTGCGCCACGCCTGTGATTTTTGAACGACAGTAGCTCAAGATTTTTTATATTTGTACATTTGTATATTTGTACATGCATGAATTATCACCCGAAATTCACTTAAAAAGCATGCACGAACAATTCTCATTTCGGTTCTATCCAAAGCTGAACTTTGTCCAAACGAATTTCAATTTGAAAACATAATTCAGGTAAAAAATGAAAATGAAACTAATAATAAAGCACACAACGAACTTCGACTGTTTCCAGATCTGCTTCGGCAGGTTTATTGGAACATTTTTAATCATCTTACAACTATCTGAGGGCATTATCTAGGTACACATTTGCAGCTGTAAATGCGTCATTATCTACAACTACGTATACTTTAGAGAACTGTTATCACGAATGATTTTATTATGGTCACGAAAATGGTGACTTTTCAAACATTATAATCTAAACCTTGATTCATTGTAATCTGTATGTAAAGTTGCACTCCCTCCCTGCGTACGCCCTTGAGTGTATTTTGGACCACTGTCATATCGATCAAAATGCTGAATACAACTCGCATAACTACAATTTCTATTTGCTTACACAGCAAGCAGCAAAACTGTCTTCTTTTTCCATTGAGAGCTGTAACGCTGCTGCTCTCAGCTGTTGTCATTTAGCCTTTGGGGCAATGTCTTGTGACCGGCGCGACTGGATGTTGGGTCTCTAATGCAGTTTACAACTGAATTGCCATTTCTGCCAGAGTGTTTTCCACAAATTGCAGCTGGGAGCAGAGCAGCAGCAGCTGTGGCAACGGGGGAGCAAAAAGAAAAAATGTGATTCAATTAAAAGCAGCACACTTTGTGCTGGGAACAAACTCGATTTTCGCCAGTGTCGTCTAGCTGGGCGCAATTAGTGATGGCCTTAAGTGGATTGTTGGGAAATGCAGAAACGATTCAATAATAATGCTAAAGGCGGGCATTTCCTTCCGCCAGCTGTCAATTGATTTGGCGAAGTGGCGGAAATAATCACGCAAGAGACGAACGAAGACTGTAACTAAACACTGGGTCTGGTACTCATCTGGTGTCCAAGTGGCTGTTAGTTAGGCTGAGGCACGCACACGCAATTCGTTAGCTGCAAGTGCCAAGTGCCACAAATGACTGCCGCAAAATGTGGCCACAGCTATTTTTGTAACCCGAGTGAAAAGTGAAAGTTGTTACCCACCCATCACACACACACACACACACACACACACATGCACAAGCGGTCCAGGTCTAATGTGCCACGCCCACCGTTTACAGCCAAGGCATTTGAATTGCTTTGGGTCGACGACAACGGCAACACCAGCAGCAACTACATCTCAGCCAAAGTCGCTGGATGCAAAGTGAATGCCAAAATTGTTGTATACCCTTGCAGAGAGCATTACAACTTTGTCGTGCTGCACAACATAATGCCTTAAAAAGAGTTCTCCTACTATATATATTATGCATATATATATATATTCTTGTTCAGTTTTTAATGATATATTAATTCTTTTTGCTGCATAAGTTATAAAGTTATTGTGTAATCGAATCGAACGCACAAAATGTGCCTTTTATTATGGTAAAAAATTACCAGCATCGATTATTCTTTTAAATTACATATATATATATAAGCAAATTTTCTGTAAGGGTATACAATTTACGGCATGTCTAAGATATTTATTCTTCCTAGTTTTTTACATGTCGTCACTAATTGAAATGTGCAAAAGGCGTTGCCGCATAAAGTGGTGTGAATTTGTGTGCCAAACCCAGAAGGTAACGTCTGTCAGCATATAAACTATATAAGCTAAATTCAAGATCAACAATATGTGCAAATAGCTGACTCTTCCATTCATAAGGAACATTTCTATTTTTTCTTCCACTGTATGCAAGGTGTAAAGTGAACATTGTAAATTTATTTAACGCCTTCATTTTTATTGATAATTAACTTACAAAGTTGCCAATGCCACATAACAATTACTAAATGCAGCTAATACCCCTTTGATGCCACCAAAAAAAAACAACAAAAAAAGCCACAATTACTTTTTAATCATTTTTTTTTGCAGTTTTTGCTTATGGGAGAACAAAAACATTGTGCAAAGTTCAGTGTTTAATCGTTTCTGTGATCTTTGCAAAGTGCAAAGATTGTTTGTACAAAATACTTAATGCTTAATGGCTTATGCAGAGTAACTCTAAGTTAAATATTTTCGTCTCTAATATTCTTACTTGTTTTTTTAATTTTGCTAATTGAAAGACGAGACGCGGTCGGGTTGTGTTGCGAAACAGTTGAAAGCTAAGGCAAACACACACAGACCTAGAGAGGTACACACACTTAACGTGTGTGTGCACAACCACGCTAATTGAAACACACACACACACACACACAGAGAGAGAGAGAGGAGATAGAGGGGAGAGCAGAGCAGTGCCGAGTCATGGCACAAAAAGTGTGTCATCTGGCAGGGCAATACTCTAAGGCAGAGACCCACTGCAATTGCAACAGCTGTGGTTCAATGCACAGCACAACACAACACAGCACAACACAACACAAAATGCTGCGAAAGCTACAAACTCAATTCACAATACACAGTATACAATCCACATTCACAATCTACAACATCCGAGTGGTATTTTTTTGTTTTTTTCTGGAAAAGCACCGGACGGGTGGGCGAGTGAGTTTAAGAGCAAGCGTCAAACAGCTGTCCGGGTTTTCCAAATCAGCGCCACATCTATCGTGCTAGGCACAAGTGGATACAAAATTAAAACAAATACAAACACATACACGCACACACACACACACACACACACACATATTAAGATAAAGCTTAGTTTAGTTTCATGTACATATGTATTGTATTTCATTTTTAGTTTGTTTTTTTTTTTCGCCACTTCGCCACAAAGTGCAAAACTTGTTTTTGCGCATTTTGCGCACTCAGCGTTAAAAAAAGACACAAACAAAAACAAAACAAGTCGCTGCGTTGCGGCAAATAAAAGTAACAACAAATTGTAGAGAAATATTATGCACAGTCAACAGTCAACAGACACAGATACAACAGATACAGATACAGCGACCGATTCCTATATCTGTATAAAGATACACGCTTAGATATATGTATACATATATATAGATATAGACAGATACATTTTCACTAATGTACGAGAACAATACTCGAAGAAACACAAAAGGAAAGAGGCTTAGTTTTATAGAAGATTAAATACCCTTTTCCAAACTCTCATATATCATACACAAATCAAGTTTAATTCACTTTCAACACTTTCCCAATATCGAAACAAATCTATTTCCGTTGGCAATTATTCATTTGTTGAACTAGTCACATATGTAAAGACTCGGCTTTAGTCAATCTCAACTGAAGCATTCTTACTTGTTAGATTTGTGGCAGCATTTGTTGGTTATGGATTGATGGCATCTACGGGAATGTGTTACAACTTTCGTTAGATATTGTTATGAACCTATACCCGAGAGAGGGTATGCCTGCCAGAGGGGCATGATGTATTTAAGACCTACCACATGACGATTAGCGCAGATGTAGCCAGAGTCAAGAAATTGCGCAAGGGCGAACAGTTTAAATTATGATAAAAAAAAAACTAAAAAACAACGCAACATATAAAAAATAGCAAAAAGTGAGCGCACCTAAATACAACAACAAGTACACAGAAAGAAAAAAACAAAGGGAATGAGGGGAAAATTGGCACTTTTGAACTTTTGCTGCGACTTCGGCTCATCAGCATTAAGCAGAAACATTTAAGAATTTATTTCTGTGCCACAAATAAAACAACAAAAAACCCACAAACAAGAAAAATTCCAATGAGTCATTTAGAGTGGCAGACGGAAGACGTCCG